GTAATTTGGATTGGGATGTAAATGAGTTCTCCCACAGTTTTCACCATTGATGGACCATATGTTAAAAAGAATTAAATTTCAAGTTTTTTTTGTTGTTTATGTTGGAGTTGTCGACTACTTTAGCATTAATGGGTAACGGAGACGCACTCGGGGGTCCCGCTGACCGTAGGCGGTTTTGGGCTTTTCCATGTATAACCGTTGTAGGATTCCTTTTAAGTTATTAATTCCTTTTTGGGTTGGGCTTAGGAATAGGAATTCTTGTAAAACTAGGTTTAATCTCTTAAACCTAGTATATAAACATACTTTTCTCTTGTTATGAGTGTGAGAGCAATTCATTCATTGTAAACGAGAGATGGGCAGGCATATTGCAATAATATTGACTCAGCTGGACGTAGCCCACATTGGGTGAACCAGGGTAAATCGCACATACATATTTTTCTTGTTTACTGTTTGTTGTTTTTTACTTTATTATTTGTTCCTGTTGTTGTCTCTATTTCGTTCAATTGGTATCAGAGCAAGGTTCTGTCAGATCGTGATTTAGAGATTGAGAAGTTCGACGGCAAACACTTCGAGCTTTGGAAACTGCGGATGGAGGATCTACTCGTTGATAGGGACCTGTGGGGTGCAATTGTGAATGATAGGCCAACAGTCGGGACTGCCGTTGTTACAACGGAGTGAAACGCTGGATTGTGGAGTGTCAAGTACGCTTGGGTCTAAACCTGCTGAAGGAGAATTATCAGCGACTGATCGTGCCGCACTTGCTGAATGGGACAAGATGGATCGGAAAGCCAGAGGGTTGATTCGATCTGTCTTGAGGACTCTGTTCTAACGAATGTGATGGATCAGGATACGGAAGGGTTTATGGCAGAAGCTGGAAAATATGTATCTGAGTAAGTCTTTGGTGAACGTGCTGTTCCTCGCAAGAAACTCTACATCTCCATATGCATGATGGGGATTCTGTTGTGCACATCTGGATGAGTTTAATACTCTGGGGAATCAACTGCTGGCTGTGGATGTAGAACTACACCGAATCTGAGAAAGTGGTAAACTGTTATGCTGCTGCTGATACGTGGGACAATCTGATTGTTGCGATTGGTGGTGGAGGATTGACACAGATGTGTGCGAATCTGTAGTTCTAAATGTTGGCAGAGGATATGCGGCGAAGAGGTTCGAGGTTCGTCTAGGTGTTAACTCTAGGGGACGAACCTGATAGAATTCAATGTCGCAGGGAAATCGTGCAAAAATACAAATCGCGAGAGAAGATCTAAGAGCAAGGATAAAAGTAAGATTAAATGCTGGAGATGTCAGGAATTTGGGTATTTTAGAAAGACTGCAGAAAACAAAACGGTGAAGGGGAAGGAAGCTGAAACTTCGTACAAACGGGAATCAAATGTAATATGTATGTGGCTGCTGCATGTATGGCTGGATCAGACCAACAGTTTGGTATTATGTGATACTGTGCGTCGTTCCATATGACACCTCATAGGGAATGGTTTTGTGAGTATAAGACATACAATGGAGGAAAGTTCTGTTAGGAGAAGTATGCTGTGAAGATTATTGGTCACGGGAAAAATCAGGCGGTTGCATGATGGTTCAGTGAGGACGCTCCCTGAAGTGATGCACATCCTGGTATGAGTAGAAATCTGCTCTCGTTGGAACAATGGCTGACGCAGGTATAGTATTAATTGTGACAGAACATCTTGTAAGATGACTCGGGGATTATGGTTATTGCACGAGGAGTTCGACATGGTACATTATACAGGATGCAAGCATCAGTTGTAAGAAATTCTCTCGTCTGGGTGGTATGTTCGGAAAAGGAGGCTGAAAAGAACCTTGATTCTGCACATTGTGGCGCACAGCGATGGGGCACATGGAGAGTCAGCTTTGTCTACTTGGTGACTCAGAATATGGCTAAGGTATTCCTAACTGTTCCATGAGTTTTGGGTTTTGTGAGGAAGTTTACAAGGCAAGCAGAATCGAGTTAGTTTTCAATCAACAGGCACGAGAGCAACAAAAATACTGGAGTTAATTCATAGTGACGTTTTTGGGCCCACTCTAGTGGAATTTGTGGTAAATCCAGGTATATGTATCTTTCATGATGATTTTTCTAGACACTGGTGGGTTTATTTATGCGCAGCAAGTCTGAGGCTTTTGAGAAATTTCGGGAATTTAAGCCTTAGTTGAGAATCAGTTTGACAGGAAGATTAAAGCTTTGCGAACTGATAATGGCGGTGAGTTTTGCTCTAGTAAGTTTGAGCAATTTTGTGGACACATGGAATTGCAAGGCAGAGAACTACACCTTACACGCCTCAACAAAATGGAGTGGGCTGAAGTCTCAATCGGTCACTGTAGAGAAGGCTAGATGTATGCTGAACACGACAGATTTGGGGTCTGAATTTTGGGTGAAGCTACAGCGATGGCTTGTTATTGAAGAATCGGTCTCCCACTTTCTTGTTAAAGACTGCGACATATGACGCTGTTGTGTAGGTAAGAAACCTAATCTGTCTTTTATTCGAGTTTTTGGTTGTGAGCGTATGTGCATGTGCCAAAGGAGAAGAGAAGCAAGCTTGACAGTAAATCTGAGAAGAAGGCAAGTTTGTGGGTTCAAGGATGGCATCAAGGGATACAGTTGTGGAATCATAGAGTAGAAGCATTTATCAGTAGAGATGTAATCTTAGGAGTAGAGGTAAAACAACGTGTGGGAACTCTGAAGATCTTAAGCAGTCAAAGAAAATCAGTTTGATGTGGACTACATAGAGCAAGAGGAGGATATGACTCCTAATGTTGCTGCAGAGACTGAAAATTTAGAGTCTACAGAATCTGACCATGAAGATAAACTTGATATGTGGCTGATGAGGGTTCTATAGATGATTTAGAGGATAATTCTGATGATGAAGTTGTGGTGCCATCAACTTTGAGGAGATCTACAAGAGTTAGAAAGGCACCAGTTCGTTTCTCTCTAAGTGCCTTGAGTGGATTACATGCTTTGAATCTGATTGGTGATGAAACTAGAATGTAAATGAAGCAAGAGCCATGGAAGATGCAAATCTGTGGGAGGTGCGATGAATGATGATGCAATCACTGGACAAAAATAGTACATGGATCCTATGTAAATGCCTAAGGATAGAAAGGCAATTGGTTGCAAGTGGGTGTTCAAAAGAAAGTTGCAGGCAGATGGGACAATTGTAAATAGTAAGGCGAGGATCGTTGCAAAGGGATTCTCGCAAATTGAGGGTGTTGATTATGGTGAGATTTTCTCTCCTGTGCCCAAGTTAACATCAATCAGGTATGTTCTATCTATTGCTGCTGCGTTTGATCTTGAAATTGAACAACTTGATGTAAAGACGGCATTTCTACATGGAGATGTAGAGGAGGAAATTTACATGAGGCAACCTGAGGGGTTTGTATGTAAAGGGAAGAAAGACTTGGTGTGTAGGTTGAGGAAGTCTCTGTATGGGCTTAAACAATCACCAAGGATGTGGTACCAAAAGTTCGACTCTATGTCTTTAGCATGGTTTTAGCCGCAGCAACGTGGATCACACGTGGATCACTGTGTGTATGTAAAAAGGTTAGAAAATGTCTTTGTTATTTTAACCTTATATGTGAAGATGATATGTGCTGATAGGGAATAGCAAGGAGTTGATAAAATCTGTAAGGGTTTGTGGCTGCACAATTTGACATGAAGGATCTTGGGGCTGCAAATTTTATTTTGCGTATGCAAATTACTGAGATCGTCAGAGTTGTAAATTGTGGTTAGGGCAGAGAAAGTACATCGGGAGGTGTTGAAGAAATTTAACATGGTAGATGCAAACTGTGAAGACTCCTAGACTTTGGGAGTGAAATTGTCTACTGATCAGTGTCCTAAGTCTGAGGAAGAGCTGGAAGAAATGACACATGTGCCATATGCGAGTGCTGTAGGCAGTTTGATGTATGCCATGGTGTGCACGCGACCCGATTATGCACAGCAAGTGGGAGTTTGAGTCGCTTTATGTCAAATCCTGGTAAGGAGCTTGGAGTGCTGTAAAGAGGGTTCTTGATATCTTGTGGGACCTCAGATTATCATTATGTTATGGGGCATGGCGACTGGGGATGAGCTAGATGTGATGGGTGTGGATGCTAATTGGGGAGGTGATCTCGATAGTAGGCGTTCCACAAGTGGGTATGTATTCTTATTTGGTGGCTGTTTGTTGGATGAGTAAAAGGCAAAGTACTGTGGCTTTTCATCAACTGAGGCAGAATACACTGGACAATCTGCACAGGCAGAGGAGAGCATAGGCTTCGAAGATTGAGTTTAGAGCTTGGTTTCAAGCTTGATGCTGTGAAGATTGGATGTGACAATCAAGGGGCTATTACTTAGCCAAGAATCCTGCCTTTCATTCGCGATCAAAACACATTGACATACAATACCATTTATCAGGCAAAAGGTGGAGGAAAAATTGGTGTTGTTAGAGAAGGTTGATACACTGTTAATGCTGCAAATTTCTTACCAAGGCTGTGAGCTTAGCAAAGTTTACATGGTGTGTTGATGAGGTAGGCCTTCATTGTGTGAAGTATTCGCCAAGTGGGAGAATGTTGGAGTTGTCGACTACTTCAGCATTAATGGGTAACGGAGACAACTCGGGGGTCCCGAGAACGCTAGGCGTTGTGGGCTTTTCCATTATAACCGAATGTGGTTCATTTTAAGTTATTAATTCCTTTTTGGGTTGGGCTTAGGAATAGGAATTCTTGTAAAACTAGGTTTAATCTCTTAAACCTAGTATATAAACATACTTTTCTCTTGTTATGAGTGTGAGAGCAATTCATTCATTGTAAACGAGAGAGGTGAGACATATTGCAATAATATTGACTCAGCTGGACGTAGCCCACATTGGGTGACCAGGGTAAATCGCGCGTACTATTTTTCTTTGTTTACTGTTTGTTTTGTTTTACTATTATTATTTTATTCCTGTTGTTGTCTCTATTTCGTTCAGTTTAGAGGTTCCAGACATAGCTAAGGAATACTATGACAAATTCCAGAGGAAAACAGATGTTCCTGATATTCCATAATTCACTATACGAAACTAGATAAGCAAGAATGGACAACAATATAAAGATAGTTAATGTTGACTTCAAATTTAATGGATTGCCAAGAGAAAGAAAGACCTGAAGGAAGAAGGATTTGCTGGGCATCTGGTACAAACTTTTGAGCTGAATAACGCTTAAGCTTCTCTTCAACTGGCAGCCTACAAAACTTACGCGCCACTTTTAACGTTTTCTCAACTTCTTCCAAACTCATTCCATGATCGATCACCTACATGTCAACATTTATGTTAATAAAATATGGGATGAAATTTATAAGGTAACAGATCAATCTATCACCTGGAAAAAGCCAAAACACTTGCAGGCATCGCCTATTTGTTGAGCAAGCTTGCTGTCACCACTACCCAAGTCAATAGTAGGGATGTTTTCGCATTCAGAAACTTCAGATAGTCTGCGTCCCTTGGATTCGGGTTTGATGTAACTTTCCGGCAAGTTTGAGTAACAAATTCCAGAATTTTGATTTTTTCTGTCCATCTAAATGTGAAGCTAGTTAGATGAATGAAGCAAAGAAAGGAGTACGTACCTTACTCACAAAGCGGAAACTAAATATGTATAAGCATGGAAGCCGAGGTCTCAGTAGGGTGTAAAATAAAACTACAGTAACATTATCAAAGTAAGATGCGTTTTGTGGGTCAGGTTTGACTTCTCCCGACGCGTTTTGAAATCCAGCGTGGATTTTCCTCACATGAAACTACACCTCATCACCACCAATTTATATATAAAGGCATTACATTAACATTATGTTGTCCCTAATTCCTTGATGGTCAGATTCGTGCTATGCGTCCCCAAGATGTGTCGAAGGTTGATGGCTTGGATCCTCCCACGTGTTGTCTTATCAGCGTTTATCTTCTCTCAAGACGATTACTGTCAAAAGCATGGATTAAGCTGTCATTAGCATGGTTTGGCCTATCACAAGTGTGGAGATTACTGACTCAGATCCTAATTAAGGGGATTATACATGCAAGCAACTCTGTAACACTCACTCTCAACCATTGTCAGACAAGCCAAGTATAAAAGGAGTTCATAGCCTCCATTCCAGGTGATTTCAATATCAGTAAAGTTCATGAGAAAAATACATTGATCTTTTTAGAAAGCGTTTAGAGAGAATAGGTCGCGAGAGCCAAGTGCCTTCCATTAATCTTGTGATCTTCTTTGTAACCTCATTTGACCTTGTAACACCGCGCAATAATAACATGACAGTGGATATAGGTTTGGTTTCCATGCTGCCGAACCACTATAAAATCTCTTTTGTTCTTTACTTTATGACGTCGTTTTAGCGACCTCACTGGTCATAATTAACCACGCGCACATCTTGCCGGGTCCCTTCTAAGGTCGACTGGGTATCTCTAGTTGGTACAAATTATCGCATCAACATTTTGGCATTAGAAGGAGGTACCTTCTCCTTAAATATCTTGCGTGGAGAAAACTCCTCTTCACAATCACCGATTGCAAGCTCCACAAGAAAAAATGGCCCTCACTAAAACTTCTAGAAGCCAAGCCGTTGACCATGAGGAGGGTGGTAATCAGAAAGTCCAGCAATGAATTCTGATAAGCCACCGGCCAATGACCCTGTACTGACTAGTCATCCAGACAGCAAACCCACTTGGAGCGGGTACATCCAACCCCAATGACATCTAGATGGTCGACATGCTAAAGTCACTAACTATTATAAGACAAGCCCTACAACAAAACGCACCTGGAGCGAGGATCCAGCAGCCAGGAAGCCAGCCACAAGTGAACACTCAAAGCCAGCCAACCCCAAGCTGGGAGCTCGAAACTGTAGGTTTCGAGTCCACCTCGTCCAGGCTAGAGAGCATGCGGCATCCCTAGGAGAGAAACATGAGAGCGAGAGGCCCACGGGAAAAACTCCCCTGGCAGACAGCCAGAAAAAGAACCGACGTCGAGGCAAACATAAACCTATATATCTAGATGACAGCCAACCTCCACAAGCAAGCGCAAACATGTGTCGCAGGAGAACCAACCGAGACAATGATAGTACCTATTGCCCTAGTAACTACGATTCAACAACTCAGATAAGTGCACACTGTAGGCTTATTTATCCAAACGCAAGCAGGCAGAATGTCAAGGCCGCTCGATCAAACCACCAATCCGTCAGGCAGAGGCATCGAACCCTCGGGTTAATGATCAGTTAGACCAGGTACAAAGAATACTTGATAATCTGAGAAACCAACGAGAAGACCCGTCAGCAAAGATAGTTGATTCTCCATTTTTTGAGGAAGTGCGGAACACTCCTCTACTCGCAAACTTTAAAGCGCCAGACATAAAGTTTGATGGTAGAGGCGACCCTCAGGATCATCTCAATGCTTTAAATGACCTGATGGAGCTACATCAAGTCTTAGAGCATGTGAAATGCCTCTGTTTTGTGGTCACTTTGGTTAGTGACATGAAGAGATGGCACAAGCACCTACAGGCGAACTCAATGCCCTCATCGCAACAATATGCTGCTCTCCACCTCTAGCAATTCCAGGCAAGAAGACGATTCACCATGCCTCTAAGCTATTTGAGTAACATTCATCAAGAGAAATGCGAGACGCTGACCTCGTTTCTTACACGATTCCAAAACAAGCAAAGCAAGGTAGTGGACGCACCAAAAGAGTCGATCTGAATGCTATTGATCACTGGCATATGGCTGCAAACTGATCTTTGGAAATATCTACAAGCCAAAATAATGTGAGCTTGACACAATTTTTCCAAATGGCTGCCAAACATCAATAGGTGGAAAATTCTATAGCCGTTTTAAATCCTCAAGCACCAACTTACGCCTCCCTTCGTCGGGACAATAAAGAACTAAGAGACCAGAAAAGATTCAGACGAGCTCGCAAAAGAGGGGATGAACATAACTGCCCAAAAAAACATCATCTCGAACCTCGAAGGGAGCGAGAAATGCCCACTCGTTTCAAAAGGTACACCCTTTTATGGCCCCACTCGTGAAAATATTTGCAGTATCAAGTAAAGCAAGGCACCTTCCTAGGCCTGAGAAATTGAAAGGGGACCCGAGAACGAGAAGAAACGCTCATAAGTCCACCGTTTCCACAAAGATGTTGGCCATGACACAGAAGAATGTCGAGCCCTAAAGGATGTTGTTGAAGAACTCATCAAGCGAGGCCACTTAAAGGAATATGTCGAAGAATAGAAAACTGACTGCGAGAACCAACACAAACCATCACCGCTACCTGGCCTTCCTCTCGTAAACCACGTTTGAAGTATCCACGATGGACTGGAACTAACAGGAGAGTCGAATTGTGCTCGAGCTTGATTTGTCCAAGACATGAGAATCAGACCTGTGCTGAGAGTTCTCAGCCTCGAGAACAAGCCTATAAAACGATCAAGGGCGAGAGATTGGGTAATTGACTTTATGGAGGAAGAAGCCAAGATGGTTCAACATCCCCATTACGAAGAACTAGTTTTTAGAGCGCAAATTGGAAACAGCGACGTCTTTTAGATAATGGTGGATGATGGAAGCGCGATCAACCTCATCTACCTTGAGGCTTTCCGCCAAATGGGATTCAAAGAGCAGCACTTAAAGCCTTCGTCAATGCCACTTTATGGGTTTACCAACGACCACATAATCTTGAGAGGGATAATTACATTGGCTGTCGTCATAGGTGAGGGACAACATATCACACAACTGATGGCAAATTTCTTGATAATGAATGGCCCGTCCGCATTCAACATAATATTGGGAAGGCCGATGCTCAAGGAATTGAGGGTCATCACCTATGTTTCCTATCAAGCAGTAAAGTTCCCTACCACGACAAGAATTGGGATAGTTCAAACTTCCCAAACTGACTCTAGAGAATGCTATAATAAGACAATTGCCACAGCCCCAAAAAGAAAAACGACCATCGACCATGGCTATCGCGAAGAACAACTCGCGATTGGGGGGTCCTCAGGACACAATCGACCTCCACATCTGTAAGGAGGATCAACCAACAGGTCTTACGGAGGACTTGTGCAAGATCACCATCAGCAAACTGGACCTAGCCCGGGTTCTCAAAATTGAAAAAAATCTCGATGACATGTTGTCACAAAAGTTGGGCATCAGTGCCGAAGTAATGTGCCACAAGCTAAAATTCAAACCAGAAGCTCGACCCATAGGTAGAAAAAAAGGCCAATGGATGCCAAGCAATTATGAGTGTTAAAAGAAGAAGTTAAAAGACTCCTTAGCAACAACTTCGTTAGAGAAGTAAAATACCCCAGTTGGCTAGCTAACCCAGTTCTCATGCAAAGCAAAATGACAAATGGCAAACCTGCGTTGACTTCACCAACCTCAACAAGGCTTGCCCGAAGGACAGTTACCCGCTATCTCGAATAGATCTATTAGTGGACGTGACAGTTGGGCACGCCCTACTCAGTTTCATAGATGCATATTCGGTATACAACTAGATCCGATGGACACTCCTAATGAGGAAAACACCTCATTTATTATCGACCGAGGAATCTACTACTGTAAAGTTATGTTGTTTGGCCTCAAGAACGCATGAGCGATTTATCAACTCCTCGTTAATAAAATGTTTGCAGAACTCAAAGGGAAAACGATGGAAGTATATGTTGACAATATACTGGTAAAATTGAAGGTTGCTGAACCCTGTGTGCAACATCCTAGAGAAATTTTTTATATCTCTGAAAATAGTGATGGCAATGGGCCAGGCCGGGACTGGGTACCCCTTGGCCCAGGCCCAAGCCCAACCTCAACCTCATGACATAGGCCCAAGCCGGGCCTGAGCCCATTACGGGTATGATAAGCAAAGCCCAAGCCCGGCCCGATGGGTTTTTTATAACCGCAGGCCTGGCCCAAGCCCGCCTTTTTTAATAATGTTTATTTTTAAATATTAATAAATTTCAAATTTTTTTAATATTTTTATTTTTAGAAATAGTTTTTAAATATTAATTGAAGCTATTTCCGCAAATAATTTAAACAATAAGTGAGCAATTAAAACTTCATAATATTTGATTATACTAACTTTTCAGCTGTGCATAATATGTTATGGTGAAATCCACTTTTATAAGTTGAACCAAACCCATCTAATTCATTTAAAGGCAATTTTAACATGTTAAACCTTCAATATGGGATGAAAATTGAGATTAGGGTTTGGGAAAAATAGATATATATATATATATATATATGTAGGATAATATTGTAATTAAATATATAGTATAAGGGTAAATTAGTAAAATTAATACTAAAATTTTTGGGGCGGGGTCGGGCCTAAAGATATACCCATGCCCAGCCCGTACCCGAGGTCGGGCCTTAAAATCAAGCCCAAGCCCAAGCCCAAGCCCAAGCCCAAGCCCGCCAACCTCGGGTAAAGCCCGCCCCTTTTAGGTCGGGTTGGGCCGGGCCGGGTACCCAAAACTGTCGAGCCGATTGCCATCTCTTTCCGAAAATACTAAATGAAGCTAAACCCTCTCAAGTGTGCATTCGAAGTAGGATCAAGAATGTTCCTGTTAGA